CGCCATCCAAGCGCCCGGTGCTTTCCCGTCGGCGGTGGCGACCCTTGGGGAGGCGCACGAGCGCCTCGCGGAGCTCCTCCACCCGGCGACTTTGCTCCTTGCGGAGTTTAGCCTCGCGGGCTCGCCGGCGACGGAAGGAGTAGCAATACCGCTTGTGGGTGGCGACTCCGCCACCGTTCCACGACGGGCGGGAAACTAGGTGGCGCAGCCCACGCGATCATCCGCCAGTTTATCGCCGGCGCGGAGCGCACAGCCCGCCAAAATTGAAGGCACGCGCCACCGGCGCCGAGGGACAGCTCGGCTCTCCGATGTCGGCTTCCCTTTGATAAGACTTCAAGGCTCCAAATGGCGACTGGGTGGCCTTTAAGCGGCGCTACCTGCTGCCCTTGATGAAGGCGCCCTTGCAGCGTTTCTCGCCATCCAGCCGCTGGAGAGATCCACCCTTACGCAGGCCTTCAACCAGCTGGTATCCATCTACGAGCCTCCGGCGGACGCACACCACAAAGTCACCAAGTGCGTCCGAGGCCAGCAACTTTTGCATCGGGACAGGGCACTGGCGACTTGCGCCGTGTCCTAGACGGGGCCGGGGCCGCCGAATGAAGCGGGGCCCCTTATGGAAGGCGCGTCGACTCGGAGTGGTGGCGACCAGGGTGATGGTGGCACGCGGCGGACGGACAAGCGGGGGCGGTCGAGGTCGTCTTCTCGTTCCAGAGGTGGCTGTGTTACCTGCTACCAGTGCGGCCTGTCGGGCCACGTGGCTTCGGGCTGCCGCATCCCACGTCGGCATCTTCCGGCATCACCACCATCCTGATCTTCCTTACACCCTGAAGCATGTCGCGATGCACTCGACACTCGACCCCTGGCCTCACTTCACCCATCTAGGCAATTTGGTTCGCGGCCTGATCGCGCGTCGGAACGGGAAAGTCCTACGCGTAATCACGAGGTGCGTCAGCTCCGACCGGGTCAGTGGTCGGAGCTGGCCCATCGAGTAGTGGCTGCAACCGGGGGTTTGTCTACGGTGCTTGGGTCTATCGAGGGTGCGGAATTAAGGATGCTGATCTACACGGGTGAATCGGCAACTATCATTACGGTCCTGATCTTTAACATTCTGCCCCCTAAGTGTTGGGTTCTCGACCTTGTCGATGCGCCGTGTGTCGCTGCTGATGGCGGCTCATTGGGTATCATCGATTGGATCACGGCCGAGGTATGCATCGCCGATGTTAGCTTGTTGGGACAACTATGGTATAACGGCGCAGCCCCCCGTCCCGTTAGGAAGCGGCCAAGCAACAGGCTATTGAGAAAAATACTCGACCACCACAAGCAGGTATTTGTTCCCTCGAGCGGTAGTGGGAAACGGTATGTCCAGAGCAACAATTTCATTGACGCGCGATGCCTGAATCGATTGCAATGGGGGTCGGCAGGGTTTCGACGGTGGCTTCCGCCGAGCGCACTGCACGCACCCTTTGAGCAAATCGTCCACATCCGCGGACATGGCCGGCCAATAGAAATCCCGTTTGAGCATAGCCAGCGTCTTCTGCACGCCTAGGTGCAATAGACCCTCGTGCACTGCCCAAACAGCCTTGCCTCGCAGGGCAGTGGGGACAACTATCATACAACGGCGCAGCCCCCCGTCCCAATGCATGAGTAAGCTGCCCCGCAGAACCACCAAGGCGACGCCCCATCGATCATCGCCCCCATCAGCTTCCCTCACACGACGCCGCAATTTGAGTAGCGAAGCATCTTCCGCCTGAAGGTGTCCCCCATTCCACGTAATCCAGACCGAGGACCCCGTCTCGTGCGCCTGGACCGGCGCCCGTGCCGCCTGTCGTGGCATCGGCAGATGGCACGAGAGGAGTGGGCGAGGCCATATCGGTCAGTTAACATTTCCAGGAACCCGAAAAATATGCAGAACCTCCGGTCGTTGTCAATCACGACAGGGCATCGGCGTTCGTATGGCGAGAACCCCTGCGGTACGTAACGTGGAACGAGAAGTCCTGCAGGATCTCTAACCAGCGTGATAATTGGCCTGACGGCTGATCCACACGCAGTGCATATTGGAGCGCTGAATGATCGGAGCGCACCTCAAATCGTCTGCCGTACAAGTAGGGGCGATATTGCTGCACAAAAACCACAATGGCTCGCAATTCATGGCGCGTAACGCAATAACGTCGTTCGGCCGTAGACAGCACCGTTCTGCCGTACGCAACAACTCTCTCCACCCCGTCAACAACCTGCGACAAGACGGCACCAATAGCGGTATTGCTAGCGTTCGTATCGAGGCAGAACGGCAATGAAAAATCCGGATAACGCAGGGGAGGGGCGTTCACCAAACCATTGCGGATGGCACGAAATGCTGCCTCCTCCTCCTCCCCCCAATGAAACTTATGACCGTCAGCCGTTAACGCACGGAGAGGTTTAGCAATTGACGCGAACCCAGCAACAAAACGGCGATAGCCAATGAAACTGCGCTCCTCAGTCACCGAGGAGGGGGTCGGCCAAGTTCGAACGCACGCAGTCTTCTCCGGGTCGGTCGCAATACCCGATTCGTTAACAATGTGGCCAAGATACCGAACCGATTTCTGGAGAAGGTGACATTTCTGAGGTTTAAGTTTAAGGTTGGCCGCACACATTTTGAGAAAGAGCACGCAAGCGGAGCAAATGGTCTTCCAAAGTGCGGCTGAAGACGATTACATCGTCGAGATATATCAAACATGAGTCCCATTGGAGACCCGTCAGGACAAGTTCCATCAAACGTTGGAACGTGGCCCACGGAATGGAGCACCATAGGAAGCCGGTTAAATTTGAACAATCACTGGGACATCGTCAAGCGGCAACTGCCAGAACCCGGATAGGAGATACAGGGTGGAGAAGAAACGTGCCACCGCCAAAGCGTCGAGCGAATCATCCATGCAAGGCAAGGGATATGCATCCGCAACAGAGACCTTATTAAGTTTCCTAAAATCGACCCAAAATCGCGAGCTCCCGTCGTGCTTCTTCAGAAGCACAATTGGAGCTCCCCAGGGACTAGTGGATGGTGAGATGATGTCTGCGACCAACATCTCATCAACCGCCAGCTGAACATGTTCCTTCTCCGCCGGGCTCAGCCTGGAGGGATTCTACCGGATAGGGGCCGCGTTGCCCGTATCAATGTGGTAACTCAGAAGCGACGTGCATCCAATATCAAATTTACCCTTGCCAAAAATATCCGAAAACTCACGCAAGAGCATCCGCGGCTTCCCTATCTGGTCCGCGGACAAGGTACCACTTTCAGCGCACAGTTTGTCAATCCAACTTTCATCGACATCACGGGATTGTCGCGTGTAAGGCTCAGCATCCACATTCCCGACGACGCCCCCTTCCGGACGTGCCGGCGATGCATGAGCCAACACCTTATCCTCCTGGATGACCATGGTGTCCAACCCAGCATTAAGAACCTGAATAAAAGCCTCCTGGTCATTAGACACTGTCGTTTGAGCCGCCACCAAAGTCAGTCCGCAACTGACCTTGTTGGAAGGACCCAAAGCAATTCCATTCTCCGTAGCTCCCAAATCGAGCGGCTTCCTCAAGCGGAGGGGAACTAACATCTGCGCGCCAGGAGGAATCCTCACCGTTCGACGCGCGAGCACCTGCACCGTAGCGTTGGCCATACACAATCGTGTGGGGGAAGGCAAAAATGCGATACGACGGCCGGATGGCAATTCCAAACAGCCACGGTCAATTCGGATTTTCAAGAGCATCCTGCCCAGGAAATCGGTTCCAAATAAGCATGGAACAGCCAGGGACGTGGAGACAAGAATGTGCCCCGACAATTTTACGTCAGCGATGCGCACCTCGGCCGTTATCCGACCGATAATACCCAATGAGCCGCCCTTAGCGGCGAAACACGGTGCATCAACAGGGTCTAGAACCTGACACTTGGGGGGCAAAATATTGTAAATCAACTCCGAGATGATAGTTGCTGACGCACCTGTGTCACCTAGCATCCTAATTTCCACACCCTCAATAAACCCAAGCACGGCAGATGAACCCGCGGCCGCAGCTACCACTCGATGGGCCAGCTCCGACCACTGTTCTGGTCGGAGCTGCCGGACCTCATGATTACGCATAGGACTCCTCCGTACCGACGCACGACCGGGACGCGAACCAAAGCGCCTAGATGGGTGAGATGAGGCCAGGGGTCGAGCGTGGAGTGCGTCGCGACTCGCCTTAGAGTGCAGGGGAGCGTAGGATGGCGGTGATGCTGGGAAACCCCGTCGTGGTACGCGGCAGCCCGATGACACGTGCCCCAACAGGCCGCAATTGTAGCAAGTGACACGGCCGCCTCTGGAACGAGACGACAATCTTGGCCTCCACTGCTCGTCCGTCCGTCGCGCGCCACCGCCACCCCGCTCGCCACCACCCCAAGTCGACGCGCATGCTGACAGGGGCTCCTCTCTATCCAGCGGCGCCGGCTCCGTGCGGGACACGGCACATGTCACCAGCGCCCTGTCCCGTTGTAGAAGTTTCTGGGCTTGGATACACTTAGAGACTTAAAGAGACGAGACGTCACAATCTTCAGCTGGAAGGATGGTGTGAAGGGTTTTCGCAAGCAATCTCTCGAGGACCAACGCGTCGATTCCATCGTCCATTTTAGGCTTTCGCCAGCGCCAAAGCGTGCTGCGGAAGGCGAGGGCTGACTCGTTCTTCCCCTTCCGTCACATATCGATTTTGTGGCGCGTGTTCGCTGGAGGCTCGTAAATAGATGCCATCTGTATTCTTGGTTCTTTCAGTACAGTCACGTAGAAGGGAAACAATAAAATAATAAAAATATAAAATAATAAATTCTCACGATGTTTCGACTGCAACACAAGCAATCATCATCAGGTGTAAAAAACAGCAAGAAAATTTGAAAAAAGTGGCGGTGTTTTTCACACCTGATGATGATTGCTTGTGTTGCAGTCGAAATGTCGTGAGAATTTTATTGTTTTATATTTTTATTATTTTATTGTTTCCCTTCTACGTGGTGACTTTACCGAAAGAACCAAGAATATGAATCCCTTTTTAACACGTAGGCTTTCGCCCTGCAGTCACGAAAGCTTTAAATCAAAAGATGCCATCTGGTCGAAAGCCTGCGTGAGGGTGGATATTTCCGGCGGCAGGATGGCAAGAAATGCTGCAAGGGCATCGTCGCCGAGGGCAGCAGGCAACGCCCACAGCGCCTCCGTCTCCGTCCATCCCGCCAGTCGCCACTGGTAGCCGCGAACTCCTTAATGAAGGGAAGCCGATGTCGGAGAGCCGGGATGTCCATCGGCGCCGACGGCGCGCCTTAAATTTTGGCGGGCTGTGCGCTCCGGGCCGGCGACAAAATTGCGGCCAAAAGCGCGGGCTGTGCCGCCGAGTTTCCAGCCCTGTTGCGAAATGGCGGATGGGTCGCCGTCCACGAGCAGCGTCGCCACTCCGTCCTTCACCGGCGAGACCGATGGGGTGATATCCGTGAGGAGCGAGGCCGCAGCGTGGAGGAGCTCTGCGAGGCGACCGTGCGCCTCCCGGAGGGACGCCTCCGCCGACGGCAAAGCATCGAGTGGCCGGCTGGCGTCCTGCTCCGCTGGCAGCGTCTCCACCGCATCCTCCGAAGCTGTAGGCGGCACGAGGTTCTCGCTGTCCGACGTCCTGGTACGTGGTCTGCGACGTGTAGACATAGTCTACTGCTAGCTGAATATACTAATGTTCTTTAGAGGCAACACATTTATTGTAACATCAACACGTTAACACGAAGGGGTAACTGCCCCTTCACCAGATACAGCCTAGGGTGATGACCACCTAGCTAACTACACTATACGTAGGAGTTACAGCTACGAAGGGTCGGGCCCTCACTCGGGTCCCCGACCACGTATTGATGCCTTGTAGGACGTAGAGCTTCCAGCTTTTAGACGTAGGGCTTCCAGCTATCGAACAAAGAACCCTGGTCCCTCCCAGGGACCCACCTTATATCCCCGCCGGGTCAGGGCCGTTCCGCCCTAGGCCCCGCCCACCTCGAGCATTCTAGCTCCCCCTCGATCCCTCTCGAGAGCTCTCCCTGGACACATGATCACCCACTAGCTCCCCCCACCTGGGGCCCTCTCTATGGACACTCCGGATCACGTGTCTACGGGGTCAACCAGAGTGCAATGGCCCGGGGCAACCCTGCCCCTGGGCTGACACTCTCCCAGTCCCCCTGGTGGGAGCCCGCACTACACACGTGGTGCCCATGCTATCCCAGCGCTCACCAAGCTCCACGGGGGCTGGTACTACACCCGCTTACGGGGTGTACGCGATGACGGTGCATCGCACGCCGTGCTGTGTTAGCGCCAGCCTCAAACAGCAACCCACCTGGTGCTGTCGGCGATGTAGGGACATCGCACGCCACGGCCCTCCTGGGCACCATACAGTGACATCCCCGATGTCACTACAAATACAAGCCAGGAAGTGCCAAGTAGACACTGAATAAGGACTAAACGATGTACTTATATGTAGTGACATCGCGGATGTCACTGTGGTGCCGGCCCGAGAGGAGCACAGCGTGCGATGTACTCAAATTGCGGACATCACGTATGTAGCAACATTGTGAATGTCACCGAGCAATGCCGGCTCTAGCGAGGCACGGCGTGCGATGCATTGTCATCACGGACACTCCGTAGGTGGGTGTAGTACCAGCCCTAGTGGGGGCTTGGTGAGCGCTGGGATAGCGCAGTGGCACCACGCGTGGCGTGCAGTGCTGTCTCCTACCGGAGGGAGTGGGAGAGTGTCAGCCATGGGATGAGGTTACCCTGGCCCAGGGCACTCTGGTTGACCCCGAAGGCACGTGACCAGTAAAGTCTGCATGGGTCCCGAAGCTGGGGGCTAGGGGGTGGTCACGTGTCAGGGGAAATATCCTACGGGAAGGGTCGAGATAGAGCTAGAACTCTCTCGAAGGTGGGCGTGGCCAAAGGCGGGAGCATATAAAACGGGTCCCCACAGGGACCGGGTTCAGCCTTGCTACCATCATCTGAAGATCTACGTTCTACGTCCAAGAATAGTCACCAACAAGTGGACCTGGATCTGAGCCGGAGTCAGGTCCAGTGTGTTAGTGTAGTTTAGCCGGGTGGTCCACCACCCTAGGCTGTTATCTGATAAAGGGGCAGCTACCCCTTTGTGTGTTACGTGTTGGTATAAATACAGTGAGGGAAAAAAGTATTTGATCCCCCGCTGATTTTGTACGTTTGCCCACCGACAAAGAAATGATCAGAATATAATTTTAATGGTAGGTTTATTTGAACAGTGAGAGACAGAATAACAAAAAAATCCAGAAAAAATGTTATAAATTAAAATGCATTTTAATGAGGGAAATAAGTATTTGACCCCTCTGCAAAACATGACTTAGTACTTGGTGGCAAAACCCTTGTTGGCAATCACAGAGGTCAGACGTTTCTTGTAGTTGGCCACCAGGTTTCCACACATCTCAGGAGGGATTTTGTCCCACTCCTCTTTGCAGATCTTCTCCAAGTCATTAAGGTTTCGAGGCTGACATTTGGCAACTCGAACCTTCAGCTCCATCCACAGATTTTCTATGGGATTAAGGTCTGGAGACTGGCTAGGCCACTCCAGGACCTTAATGTGCTTCTTCTTGAGTCACTCCTTTGTTGCCTTGGGCATGTGTTTTGGGTCATTGTCATGCTGGAATACCCATCCACGACCCATTTTCAATGCCATGGCTGAGGGAAGGAGGTTCTCACCCAAGATTTGACGGTACATGGCCCCGTCCATCGTTCCTTTGATGCGGTGAAGTTGTCCTGTCCCCTTAGCAAAAAAACACCCCCAATGCATAATGTTTCCACCTCCATGTTTGACGGTGGGGATGGTGTTCTTGGGGTCATAGGCAGCATTCCTCCTCCAAACACGGCGAGTTGAGTTGATGCCAAAGAGCTCCATTTTTGGTGTCATCTGACCACAACACATTCACCCAGTTGTCCTCTGAATCATTCAGATGTTCGTTGGCAAACTTCAGACGGGCATGTATATGTGCTTTCTTGAGCAAGAGGACCTTGCTGGTGCTGCAGGATTTCAGTCCTTCACGGCGTAGTGTGTTACCAATTGTTTTCTTGGTGACTATGGTCCCAGCTGCCTTGAGATCATTGACAAGATCCTCCCGTGTAGTTATGGGCTGATTCCTCACCGTTCTCATGATCATTGCAATTCCACGAGGTGAGATCTTGCATGGAGCCCCAGGCCGAGGGAGATTGACAGTTATTTTGTTTCTTCCATTTGCGAATAATCTTACCAACTTGTTGTCACCTTCTCACCAAGCTGCTTGGCAATGGTCTTGTAGCCCATTCCAGCCTTGTGTAGGTCTACAATCTTGTCCCTGACATCCTTGGAGAGCTCTTTGGTCTTGGCCATGGTGGAGAGTTTGGAATCTGATTGATTGCTTCTGTGGACAGGTGTCTTTTATACAGGTGTAGTGTTCGATTTCACTCGGACAACTTCTGTCTTTCTCCGAACACCGCTTTATTTACAACTCTCAGCATGTCCTCCACATTCCACAATATCCTGGTCACCACGGCTCGCCCGCCGTGCTTCACTCGACTCGCTCGCCACCTTTGTCTCTCCACTCCCCACGATTACTTCGCTTACTCCCAACGATTACTTCGCTTACTCCGCCGCTAACTTCTTCATCTCCGCTCTCCGCTATCACCGTCGCTATGTTCTCTCCACTGCTAACTTCGTCTTTGTTCACCGCTATCACCTTCACTATGCTCACTCCACTGCTACTGCTTTATCCCTGTTCACCGCTATTACCGTCACTGTGCTCACTCCACTGCTGGCTGTTCTCGTCTCCAGCTCTGCTATCGCTACGCTCTCTCCACTGCTAACTACTTCGTCTTTGTTCAGCTTCGCTATCGCTACGCTCTCTCCACCGCTAACTACTTCGTCTTTGTTCAGCTTCACTATCGCTATGCTGTCTCCACCGCTAACTACTTCGTCTTTGTTCAGCTTCGCTATTGCTACGCTCTCTCCACCGCTAACTACTTCGTCTTTGTTCAGCTTCGCTATCGCTACGCTCTCTCCAGCGCTAACTACTTCGTCTTTGCTCCAAGCTCCGTCTCCAACTCCGTCTACCTTCCACTCTGTCTTCCAAACTCTGTCTCTCAAACTCTTGTCTCTCAAACTCTCTCTCAAACACTGCCTTCCAACTCTGTCTCTCAAACTCTGTCTTCCAACTCTGTCTCTCAAACTCTCCACACTTCAATTCCCCCTGTTGACTCCAAGCCCTCCAAACTCCAACTCCCTGCTCCAATTACCGACCCCCCAATTTATCCCCGCTTTCATTACGCCCCAATTAATTAGTCCGCCTCCCAACGGCACTCCGCGTGATCGCTCACCTGCTTCTCGCCAGACTTCCAGACTCCTCTCCGGCCCCGGCAACAGCACCAACCAATCACAGCCGTCCTTGGCTCTCCCAGCTTAATTGCCCCAACATAACCTGCACTGTATTTGCCTTCGTTACAGGCTGACCCAACATGAACCGCACTGCCTCTGTTTCCATGCAATACGCACCTTTCTACTCCACTACACAGGTAACAAGCTGAGATTAGGAGCACTCCCTTTAAGAGTGTGCTCCTAATCTCAGCTCGTTACCTGTATAAAAGACACCTGGGAGCCAGAAATCTTTCTGTGGAGGGAGCTGAAGGTTCGAGTTGCCAAACGTCAGCCTCGAAACCTTAATGACTTGGAGAAGATCTGCAAAGAGGAGTGGGACAAAATCCCTCCTGAGATGTGTGCAAACCTGGTGGCCAACTACAAGAAAGTCTGACCTCTGTGATTGCCAACAAGATTTTGTTGTTATTCTGTCTCCCACTGTTCAAATAAACCTACCATTAAAATTATAGACTGATCATTTCTTTGTCAGTGGGCAAACGTACAAAATCAGCAGGGGATCAAATACTTTTTTCCCCTCACTGTAAATGTGTTGCCTCCAAGAAGTACGTCTGTGACTCCACTATATATGCATAATAGTTTTTTGCCTTTTGTTTCATAATAAGTGTTATGTATATAACCCTTTTGCTGATTATTAAAGTGTTACATGAACAGGGCAGGTGACATGTTATCATATAAAGCAACTGTGAACACATGAAAAGACTGAGGTTTACAGTTTATGAGTAAAACTCTATCATCTACACAATATACATAGACGTAAAATGTAAAAACCTAAATATCTTGGGAACAGTAGCCAATCACTTGTTTTATCATATTTTAATTAAAAAAATCAAAATCCATAATAAACGGCACATTTCATCTCTGAAGCAGACGACGTCTAAACAATTGTAGACCAGTGTAACAGCAGATGAAAAGTGTAATTTTAGATTTGGTATCCACTCCATTGTTCAGAAGCAGAGTGGGTCTCGTCCATTCCTCTTTTAAAGGAGGGAAGACAGCAGCAGCAGAGTTTTTACAATATAGTCGATGGTTTGGGATTTGCGGCCTCACTCGGAGGGTGCTGAAAATTTGATGCACCGTTTGTGCATCATGTGGCCCCATCGGCCATGCACGGTCCTGATTTAGTTGATGGTTGGACTATTGGTAGTGTGGAAGGTTGAAACCGGGAGGTTCGACGGTAGGGTTCTGTATGAGATGTTTTTTTTTACGTCGGCCGCAGTCCAGACTTTCTGCCATGTCTCACCTTCATTTATATTTGTGGGGTGGAGTGAGGCTGCTGTGATCCAGAAAGGGTGCCGTGATTTTAGGCGAACAGGCGGTGCCGGGTTTATGTCCCGATGTATCGGTAGGTGCAGGTTGACTAGAATTTGTTTTATTTGTTCAATAAATAAATATTGTATGGACACCCTGTATTTTCTAGGTGTACTGCGTGTGCGTGTTGAACGTATGTGTATGTTCTGTGTAATGTGTATATATGTGTAGTGGAGTACAAAGTTGCGTTGTGGAAACAGCGTGATTACATGATAGCAAATACAGTACAGGTTATGTGAGGGCAATTAGGTTGGGAGAGCCAAGGACGGCTGTGATTGGTTGGTGCTGTTACCGGGGCTGGAGAGGCATCTTGAAGTCTGGCGAGAAACAGGTGCGACGGTCACGCGGAGCGCCGTTGGGACGCGGGTTAATTAATCGGGGGTGTAATGAGAGCGGGTATAAGAGCGGGAGTCGGAGTCAACAGAAGGGAGTTGAGTTGAAGGGAGTTGAGCTTGGAGATGGGTTGAAGTTGGAGAGCTTAAGGGAGCTGGAGTGAAGAGTTGGAGGTCGGAGTCGCTGTGTGTGAAGACGCTGAGTGCGGAGTCGCTGAGTGGGAGACGGAGTTGGAGTTTGCGGAGCTGGGAGACGGAGCTGGGGGTTGGTGGCTGAAGTTGGAGAGCTCGGAGTGAACAGCGGGGAGTTGGAGTTTGGAGAGCTTGGAGACGGAGTGGGAGACGGAGCTTGGAACAGCATAGCGATAGCGGAGCTGAAGACGAGAATAGCCAGCAGTGGAGAGAGCATAGTGTTAGCGGAGCTGAAGACGAAGAACAGCCAGCAGTGGAGTGAGCATAGCGACGGTGATAGCGGAGAATAGAGACGAAGCAGTTAGCAGTGGAGTTAGCATAGCGACGGTGATAGCGGTGAATAGAGACGAAGCAGTTAGCAGTGGAGTGAGCGTAGCGACGGTGATATCGGTGAATAGAGACGAAGCAGTTAGCAGTGGAGTGAGCGTAGTGACGGTGATAGCGGTGAATAGAGACGAAGCAGTTAGCAGTGGAGTGAGCGTAGTGACGGTGATATCGGTGAACAGAGACGAAGCAGTTAGCAGTGGAGAGAGCATAGCGACGGTGATAGAGGAGAGCGGAGACAAAGAAGTTAACAAGGAATAAGCGAAGTAATCGTGGGGAGTGGAGAGACAAAGGTGGCGAACGAGTCGAGTGAAGCACGGCGAGCGAGCCGTGGCGACCTGGATACTGTGGAATGTGGAGGACATGCTGAGAGTTGTAAATAAAGCGGTGTTCGAAGAAAGACGGAAGTTGTCCGAGTGAAATCGAACACTACGCATGTATGCTGGGTGTACTGCATGTGACTGTGTACTATGTATTATAGTGTATATTGTGTGTAATGAAAGTGCGTAATGTGTGTAATGTATATCTGCAGAATAAATGACATGGAGCAGAGACTGAATACAACACCCGCTGCTAGAAGGCACCAATGCGACCAGTCTCCATATGGCACGAATGCCACTGGACACATGAATCTGCAACAGAAATTGCACACGACCAAGAAGCCCTTCAAGTGCACGGTGTGTGAAAAGTCATTTGGACAGTCATCACATCTTAAAGATCACCAGAGAATACACACAGGGGAGAAACCCTTCAAGTGCAATGTGTGTGGAAAGGCATTTGCAGAGTCAGGAAGTGTTCAGAAACATCAGCGAACACACTCAGGAAAGAAGCCCTTCAAGTGCACTGTGTGTGAGAAGGCATTTAGACAGTCATCACATCTTCAAATTCACCAGAGAACACACACAGGCGAGAAGCCCTTCAAGTGTACAGTATGTGGGAAGGCATTTGCAGTATCAGGCAGTTTTCAGACACATCAGAAAACACACTCAGGCGAGAAGCCCTTCAAGTGCACTTTGTGTGAGAAGGCATTTAAACTGTCATCACATCTTAAAATTCACCAGATAACACACACAGGTGAGAAGCCCTTCAAGTGTACTGTGTGTGGTAAAGGGTTTACACAATCAGGATCTCTTACTGCTCACCAGAGACAACACACGGGCGAGAAGCCCTTCAAGTGCACTCTGTGTGAGAAGGCATTCAAACTGTCATCATATCTTCAAATTCACCAAAGAACACACACAGGCGAGAAACCCTTCAAGTGTACTGTGTGTGGTAAAACCTTTACACAATCAGGGTCTCTTATCGTTCACCAGAGACAACATACAGGCAAGAAGCCCTTCACATGCACTATCTGTGGAAATGCTTTTGCAGAGTCAGAAAGTTTACAAAAACATCAAAGAACACACACAGGCAAGAAGCCCTTCAAATGCACTGTGTGTGAGAAAGCATTTGGGGTGTCAGCATATCTTCAAAGACACCTGAAAACACACACAGGCAAAAAGCCCTTCAAGTGCACTGTGTGTGGGAAGGCATTTGCACGATCAGAAGGCCGAAATAGACATGAGAAGACACACAAGGAGACGGAGGTGGAATCGAGAAGTGAACGTGAACGTGCTGAATTTAGCCCATTTCGCATGGAACAAGAACCAGAAGGCATCCCCAGTTTTGAAACATGGCCAGGAGTGAAGGTGGAATGTGAAGACGTGAAGTTGGAGTATGAAGAAGTGAAGGTGGAATATGAAGAAGTGAAGGTGGAATATGAAGAAGTGAAGGTGAAAAGTGAAAATGAAGATTCAACTCCAGAACCCGACGTCCAGATGGATGGAGGCAGCGTGAAGCAGGAGGATGATTCAGACTGAGGGAGAGTGAGGCAACCCCCAGGAGTTGTACATGTGGAGGTGCGAGTGGAGTTTTTGGGGGAGTAGTGGTGTAGTGGTTAGCGAACTGCTGTACAAACCTTGATGACCCAAGTTCGATTCCCGTTCAGGTCCACCAATACGTGTGTTGATTATCTGAACCGGTCCTGGGCCTCCCCTAGGTCGATTCAGCCTAACATGAGTACCTGGTATGGTGCGTGAAAATCGTCACCATTGGGAAGACAAAGGCGGTCGGGCTAGATGCTGGTCACCCATCCCTAGTGTACCGTGCTGGCCTTCGTTCGTGCCGGATAACGGCACTTGCCCAAAAAGTATGTTGAGGCTATAAGGGGGATCTTTGTCAATGGAGTGTTTGGACAATGCAGAGTAGGAGGGCCCTACATGTGTAAAGTGGAGTCTGGAAAGATCTATAACCAGGAGCATGACACAAAGAGTCTCCATAGTGGTCGCCTGACTCACAGGTTCTCTCACTACAAGAATAGATGCAGCCGTCGTCATTCAGCCAGAGATAAAAGCTTTCCTTAATGTAGCTGCCCAAACATTTTGGAACCACCGAGGAAGTTTAGTTTATTTGCATCTCCATGCTGCCATATCTGTTCTCACTTAAACTAAAGTTTAAGTTTGAATGTAATTTGACAACAATTGCTATTATTTTTTATAAACATTTTTTTATTCTTATTAAAGAACCTAGAATACAGTGGGAAAACAGATAACGTATAACAAGATCTGCATGATGCAGACTCAATTAGGGAACTAATCAGGGCGTCCACCACTGCTTCTAACGTGGTAGGGACTTATCGGGAACAGTCTATATGAGGAGGGGGCGGGGTTGGGGGTGGGATAAATGGGAGAGAGGAGGAATAATGTAACCACAGAGAACCCAAAATAAAATAACAAACGTGATGTCCAAGTTTGTCATTCTTATCTCTCAGGTGTAACCAGAGTCCATCTCTTCGACCTTTTCCCCGGTCTCCATTTCCATGGCTATTTATGCTGGGTTCTGCAAGAATGCATGGTCTCAGATGTTCTATTCCTGCCAGGAAAAGGAGATTTCTGTTCCATAGAAGGTTTGGAGCAGAGCGTGCTGGAGCTTTGATGCTCCGTTTGGTTTTAAGCCCCACAGAGTCGAGTCCACTGAAATGGCTCAAGTGGTCCGTAATGTCATGGTAAAAAACCCTAAGATATCAGGGCATGTCCAGAAGGCATGTAGGTACGTCTGCACCATGCCCCTGTAGGCATCTAGAGCAGTCTAGGGAGGTGTCAGTGAATTTGTCTCTCCTGTCGTTAGTCGTGTAGGCCCCATACATTTTAACTGCATGAGTTTCAGCGACAGTGCCCTGGGGCCTGGAGCTGGGACTAACCATATCTGGGTCGACTTCCGATAAGCAACGTCTTGTCACATAAGCCTTTTCCAAAGCTTTATTTTCGTGCTTACCAGCGTACCAGCACGAAAATAAAGAGCGGTTTTTGAGGCAAAGGAATCCTATATTGCCTCAAAGAGCTTTCTGCCAAAAAACAGACCAGCACCTCTCTTTACAATAGTGGACAGCCTCTTACACCCCAGGCCGTACTACATTCGAGATCGTCCAATCAATCTCATCAGAAATTGAATTACTACTGCCCCGTGTTATTTTCACAGAACCTCATCTTGTACTTGGCTGCTTCCTGCCCGTTTTGCTGCTTGACCTTGAGCGGATCCTCTGAAAGATGCTCTTCCAGGAGGCCTTTGGTCAAATGGCCCAAGTGGTAGCAGAACTGATTAACTCCTCTCTGCTTTAAAGAGCATTCGTAAGACCATTGCTCAAGAAACCAGGTTTGAACAGCTGGCTAATTACCACCCAATCTCAAACCTCCTTTTTATAGGGAAGGTCTTAGAAAGAGTCATCTCGATCCACCTGGAATCCTGTCTCAAACAAACGCGACTTTTCGATCCAACCCAATCCGGTTTCAGAGCTCTGCATGGTAAAGAGACAGATCTGGTCTGCAAAATGGTTGATCTCCTTCAGTCTCTTAATAATGGGTGTGTATCTGGCCTTGCCACACTCGACCTCTCTGCTGCCTTTGATACCATTGATGACGGGGTGCTATTGCAATGCCTGAAGTCCCCCACTGGAATTAGAGGCTTAGCATTAAACTGGCTCTCCTCTTTCCCACAATACAGAAACAAACATGTCATTGATTGCATTTTCAGTGTTTTCTCTTTTTCTGATCTACCTTTGTTACGCTTGGTGCTCAAGAGTTGATTTCGATTTAAAGCTTTCGTGACTGCAAGGATTCATCTTCTTTGGTTCTTTCGGTAAAGTCACCACCACGTAGAATGAGAATAAAATAATAAATTGATAAAATAATAATATTCTCACGACGTTTCGGCCACAACACAAGCGGCCTTCATCAGTCTCGTCCCTTCACCTGATGAAGGCCGCTTGTGTTGTGGCCGAAACGTCGTGAGAATATTATTGTGTTATTTTATTTTATAAATTTATTATTTTATTATCATTCTACGTGACTTTACCGAAAGAACCAAAGAAGAAGAGTTGATTTGTTAATTATTACTGTTCAACAGTAGCGCGTGTTCCCTGCAGTTTATTCTCACTCCTCTAACTCATTCTCTGACGGTTGTTTCCCATGTACGATCGTCTTGTTGAAGGAGTATTCATGTTGTGGGTGATGGTGCGAATGGTGCGAGCGAGGTGCGAGTGGTGCAGTGCGAGTGGTGTGTGAACTACGCGAGTGGTGCGGTGCCGAGTCGCGTGAGTTCGTATGGTGTGAGTGAGGTGTATGGTGTGATGCGAGTTTTGTAGTGTCAGTGTGGCACCGCATGTGGGTCGTGACGAAGCAGAATACACTGGATGGACGGTTATTGTGAGTTGATGTGATTTAGAAATTAGTGGTGTATTGTTTTTTATCATGTCGACAAATAACGAGGGTGTCATCCACATGTCTGAACCAACAAGAATGTGTCAGTGTAACGGGCAGTGGTGAGCAACTGTGACCATGTTATACATACAGATGGAACGCCTATTCCATCTGTCTGTTCCATCTGTATGTTGAGCTTCTTTTGCACTGTACATAGCCAACCGTGGTAATCGGAGGTTGCAGTCTCCACTTCTTGCGGATGTTCATGGAAACGCATTATTTCCCAATGACATGTGGGTTTTCTCTGGGTGTTCCTTATTACTCCCACTTGTAAACACTAATTAATGAATAAGAATTCCATTTATATAGCGTTTTCATCAAGGATCTTTGTACAGGACACAGCAGGAACAGACACTCAGCATTAAAATAATATTTTTTGTACATTTTAAGAATCCATTTACAAATAAACTAAAAGTTTAATAACCGGAAGCATATAAATAGGTTTTAAGATACATTTTAAAAAAAAATTGTCCACAGACTCAGAGATTCTGATATCTTGTGGACGAGAGTTCCATAGCCTGGGGGCTACACAGGAACAAGCTCGGTCATCGATAGACTGAAGCCTCGACCTGGGAATGGAGAGAAGATCTTCATCACCAGATCTTAGGAACCTTGAGGGGACATGGGTGCAGCATGTCAATGATGTAGGCTGGGGGCAAGATGGTTCACTGGTTGGTAAGTTAACGATAGTATTGCAAACTTTATTCCATGTGAAACTGGAAGCCAGTGCAGGGAGGCCAATACGGGCATAATATGATGTGAAGGTGTTCTGGTTAACACCTTGACAACCGCATTCTGAACATGCTGCTAATTTATCGGCACTTTCTAAGCCATGCCAGGGAGTAAGACTGCAATCATTAATGAGAGATGAGATAAAGGCATGGACCAGTTTTTTTCTGCATCTGAAGCAGAGAGAAGGGATAGGATATGGAAGATATTTCTGAGATGTAAAAATTGAGTCACTGTGATATTTTTAATGAGCCTGGAAGAATAACGTGGGATCACATATGACCCCTATATTTGTTACTTCCTGTGGCGAACTGATTATAAGTTGGACTACATTTTTTCGAAAGCATTTTGGCTGCAGACCAGTGTTATTATTTTTCTAGATAAGTTACCCGGCTTCGCACGGCTCTCAGTAATCAAATGTTAACGGTAATGTGTTGCCATGCTGAATATTCTGCTCGGACGGGGTCGAAATGATAAAATAACACAGTGTTTACCGAAATAAAACGCATACTGACGCCTATCTGAATGCACAGTCACACCATCACCCCGCACAGAAATCTGTTCTTATCAAGACGCTCGTTCATCGAGCTAAGATGGTGACAATCTGAGAAGTGAAATTCAACATGTTAAAGAAGCGCCACAATTGAACGGTTACAATGATGCACAAATCAACAGGGAATTAAATGCCAAACCCAAATCAAATAACACGAGCATTGAAACTGCCCATGCAATTAAAATGATTAAAATACCGTACATTGCGGGAATAACTGATAAATTAGCCAGATGTTTGGAAAAACAAAACATCCGAGTCAGATTTGGCACGGTTCATAAAATACAGAAATTGACATCTGGTACAAAAGATGTATTTCCGAAGCTATCAATAGAAGGTGTGTACAGGATTAACTGCACTTGTGGCAAATGCTATGTCGGGCAAACAGGACGAATGATCAGCACGAGACTAAAAGAACAGAAATATTCAGTGCTCCCAAATACAACTGTCAGCAGTAGCAGAACACGCGTGCCAACAAGGACACTAAATTGATTTTGATAATGTTGACAATCTGTGCAAAACTAGCTACTACTGGCCAAGACTAATTAGATAATCTATCGAGATTGAAAGAAGTAACAATAATTGTAACTGTTCGGATAGTGCTGCGCAGAAGCGAATCCTCAAATAATACATTGTTTAAATGCATGCCTATACAGGCGACCATACTTCAATAGGCATTCCCATTGGTACGGCAATTTTAATACACACAATGGACTGGAAGGACAAGATCAAAGGGCTCGCATAATGCGCATGCATAATGTACGTTGACTCATGAATCCCCCCCCCCCACTTTGCATAAGAGGGCAGAAGTGTGGTCAGCACATCTACGCCTCTATGTAAGGAACAGAAGAGTTGGAGTTCTCCACAAATCTGGCTGTCGCCTGATGAAGCTAGTTGTAATTACTGGCAAAACGTTGTACTCATTGTAAATCGTGTGGCTTCGCTCTCCAACACACCGGTGTGCTGTACTAGTGAAGAATTGGCACGAAAC